GAGGGAAGGAAACACAAAAACAGACCACACAAACTGGATTCCTGACAGTATATATATATAAAAAAAGGTTGAATAACAGCCGATTCCGATGCCAACAGCAATATATCATGGCTCCTTAGAATCCACAGCAGGCCACACTTGGGGGGGACATTTTCCACAGCAGTGTTTCAGAAAGTTACGCCTGTGGCTAAAACAATAGTCTTTTATAGAAGGAATGGTGACTGAGACTATTCATCAAGTTAACCGACTCTTCTAGCTTATGTTGTTACAGTAATAAGACCCTTGAAAATGATCATTAAAGGAAAATTTAACCTGAATGGTACCATTTGGTTTAAAACTCTTTACCAAAGAGTTTTAAATGTTTCTCCATTGCAGAAATCCTGCATGAATAACGTTCTGTAGGAGTCTACAAAATGAACTCTGGTTTAAAAGCAATAAGAAAATAAAAGACTGATATTGACTTCAACCAAGCAATCAAACTTTATTTTGAAAAACACAATTATTACAGAATAATGGATGCCTCCAGTAAAGCACATTCACATGAAAATTACTCTGAATTAAAACACTGATAATTTCTTAAACAGGATGGAATCATTTCATATTTTAAGTACTTTCAGAGCTTTGATTTCTGAATATGAGCAAACCTTTCCTTACTCACTACGCTGATATGAAGTACCTGATCCAGATACTCAGCTGTTTATTGTCTGCAGGGGTCAGCGCTCTGCTTGTTGTGGCCTTGGATAGTGCTCAAGCCTTCCAGCTCCTGATGGTTGAGTTTGGACGAGCACACAACTACAAGGCTCCTCTAAAAATCGGCTTGCAGAGCATCAGCAGCGTCATCCTGCAAGAGCTTGTAAGTCATTGTCATGTTAGAAAAGACCGGACATTGGCAGATTTGTAATCCCTGTAGGTGGTATACTGCCTGATCCATACACAGAGGAAGCCTTTTAGCCAGTAATGATCTGAGTATCTTCTTTGTGGCTTCCTGCAGAGCGCCATAGCAGATCGAATCTGCTGCAATGTTTTCTGTAAATGCTATGGAACCCCGGGGCCTCCTGGTCTTCCTGGGACACCAGGAGATAAGGTGAGTGTAAAAGATCTTCAAGACGACATGATCGTCCCAATCGTCATTATTCTTTTTATACAATTCTTTCCAATTCCATTGTTTATTTTACGATTGCGATCTTTAGTGTGGTTTCTAGTTGGCATAACTCTGTCGTCGTGATTCTAATTCTTGAAAAGTTTATGTTACCTGTTTGTGGATCCAGGTGGGGGCGTAGCTAGATGGGGGGCCACAGCCACTGTCAGCCAATCAATGGCCACCCCTACCATTTTTTCCCTCTGATTTGGGTTTGGGGGCTGGTTGACCTTATGATGACCTCTAGAAATATTTCTTTATATCTCTAAAATGATGGCGGCACAAACGAAAATTTTTACTCCGGTTTTAGAAATGCAACATTTGGAACAGTCGCTTCCCTACGACTTTAAGTATAAAATTTATGCAGAACAATTATTGTTAAAAGTAGATAAGTAATAATAATGAATAAGATTTTCGCCCCAGAACACAAACTTTTGAATTTTATGGACTACACCTTTAATTTAAATAGCATGGATGTTTAAATATATGCGTCTTTTTGTTAGCAGAGGCTGCAGGAAAGTACAGTCAGTCTTTGTTTAGAAAATATGTGGTCGTTCCTGTTGGAACCGTGTAGATTAATCCTGAGGTTCTGACACCTGTCAGCTTTCGGCCAGCACTCAGTCTACATTGGTTATTCCCTGGGAACCCTTATTAACATTTTCTGGCTACACCTCTGGATTAAGGTATCAGAATCAGAATCAGAAATACTTTAATAATCCCAGAGGGAATTTACTTTTGTTACACGCTCCAGTTACAGTTTTATACAATATATACACACATCCAACTATACAATATAATAAAGATAAAGAAATAAGAATAAAAAGAGATCAAATATATACACATATAGCTCTTCTGTATATATATATCTGTAGGTATATCTACAGTATGCATATGTAAAAACTAAATCCAAGTTAAGTGAAAATCCAAGTAAAGTGAAAATCCAAGTAAAGTGATAAATCCAAGTAAAGTGANAAATCCAAGTAAAGTGAAAATCCAAGTAAAGTGATAAATCCAAGTAAAGGTAAAGGTAACGAAATATGTAACCATAGCAAACATAGCAAGTTTTGTTTTAGACCCACCATTTAGATTTTAAAGGCTCAAATATTACTTCAACTTAAGAGGTGATACATGCAGCAATCTACATTATAAACTCATCAATATTATTGGAATCAGGCATTCCAATCACTTCCATGTAAACGTGTGTATAAAATTAAGCACTGAGGTGTGCATGCTGTTTTTAAACAACCTTTCTGAATGAATGGGAGGCTCTCAGGAATCAGCAGATGCTGAAACTTCATGCTGCCTTCAGATCAGCTCCAGAACAGAGAGCTTCATGGAACGGATTTCTGCTTTTTATCTCTAATCAGATCATCGCAGACATTTCTAAAACACCAACACACTGATGTTTCTGCCTCTAAACTTTTCTGTATTTCCTTTACAGGGCGCGCCTGGTGAGAAGGGTCACCCTGGCTATCCTGGAGAGGAAGGGTCCCCTGTAAGTTGTCTCCCAGGGCTACAGGGTGGAGGTTGGGGGGATGGAAGTAGGGGGATTTACCTACAACATAACATACAGTAGCAGCCATTTAAAATGGCCCTTTAAAGTCAAACAGCAGCTGAATGGCAGCTCACTTCCCTTCAGCTCCCAGCAGAATCCCCTCCAACTCCCAGCCACTGCAGTGTCCCCCCACTTTGCAATTTTTTTTCTCTGACTCCACCCTTTCACTGAATTACAGGGTCTGACCAGGAGATGGAGCTACTATTTAGATCTTAAGGTCCACAAATCATGAAAGAAAAAATATTTTAGTACAAAGATTGATGTTTAAAAAGGATTTGTTGGGAATCAGGAAAGAAAAGTGGGGAAATTTTGAATAGCTGCTACTGTGTAAGTAAAACGACAGGATTATTGGGAGTAATACAGTCTACAGTTGGTTTTACTGAATTAGTCTTTGTTTGCTGTTAATTCCACATGTTTGACTGTTGCAGGGCAGACGAGGCCCTCCTGGACTACCTGGACCCCAGGGGATCCAGGGATGTCCTGGACACAGAGGACAGAAGGTAAGGCTGCGTCTCCTGGTGGATGGAGAGAGAAAAGCTGCTAGAACCCTGAACTGAAACCTGGAAAAAAAAAAAAAAGCTGTTGGTGTTTAAATACTCCAGCATACATATTCACACACTTTGTTTACACAATGTACTTTGACTTTATGCGATGGACTAAATCTAAGTGGTCCACACTGGTATCCTAAGCTCCCAGATTGGGAAACATCCCAACCTGGCAACAATGAACGTAAGACGGGAAACGTTAGCCTTTAGATGCTAAACCCCATTATGCACTGCAACATTTTTTTTT